TATCTAAATATGAAATAGATGTGTCAAACTGTTATATCTTTTATTTCAAGCTCACTGATATAGATCGTATATAGATCGTATATAGTACTAAGAATGGAAATTAGTGTTGTTATTTGACAATACACCGTTGATATAGCTAAATACCGAATTGAAGGCAACGGCAAGTGATTTCTTCTTTTCACGTTAAACATTTTGAACAAATTATGCTTCATATGAATACAAAAATAGGTCTGCCAATAACAGGGCATAATTGGTTCCCATGGAATTCCAACAGATTATCGGAAGAGCTGATATCCAACAATAACATAAATTTTGTCAATCACAATCTTTTTAAAATCAACTTCGGAGTGTCTCTTTGTAAAATCAGAATTTTTTTCACAAAGTAATTTTACAGGTAACCAATAACAAAGTTAGTAAAATACATTATTTTATTTTGATCGAAAAAAAAAACAGCCGTCTATGATGTTAAAAAGACTGGACTCGTGGGAAATGGATGAACACAGAGTTGAAAAGTCCAAGTTGTGATTTTTTATTTTGGTAAATTTTTGTTTTCATCAATGATTTTTTTTGGTTGGGTGGGGGTGGGGGTGGGGTATTTTTTTTTTCAATTTCACTTGTTTCTTTCAGATTATTTGTATCCACATCCGATTTACACTACTTCTCGAATATATTATTGTACAGGGCTCCAAGAGTTTTTCATTCACTGTTGTTCATAGGAGAGGCCGCTTTGTTGAGCATTTTTGTTGGGAATATTAAAAAATACATTTAAAACTAACCTATGATTTAGAAGAATATCCTTACTTTCTTAGGAAGGGAGATATATGGTTATATGTAAGTTGGATTACAACTTGTATGCTGAATAAAATCCCAGTTCCTCTAAAATACAACTAATCTAAATAATAAGACTAAGCAATGAAGACAATAAGAAATTGTTTCCGGCTTTTATCAGTTGGCACCAATATTTTATATAAAGTGATCGTGTAATGTGCATGTCATTTTTTTCAACTTTTGGATAGAAGGATTGATGGTTTACTTATTATTTCTCAATCGCTTAATGTGAGATTTTAAAAGCATCTGATATCCATTCTCACAAATTGTTTTGGCTTTCATAGTTTGCATATCGCATGATGCAATGCTTCACAGAATTCATAATATTTATGTATGAAACTATGACACAAGTTGTGTAAATTTTGGCTCTTTTAAAATAAGTGATTTGCGGTCATCATCGTGTTCACGTCTAGCGCTGCAGGACTGTAGTTGAAATCCGAAGAACATAGCAGGATTATTTTTCAGATATTAGATACCGGTATCTCCTGAACTCCTCTTTCATTTTTGCAGTTACCCAACTCAATTTTTACAATTTGATTTGGAGTGTTCTATAGAAAATAAGGTTTCGGGAATTTGAATTTTACCCTTGTGGTCGATTGATTTCAAACATAAACACACATGTTTTTCTAATTAATTTTTTTTTTTTTTTTTTTTTTTTTTTTTTTTTTTTTTTTTTTTTTTTTTGCAGTAGACAACTGATCTTTTGAAATTTGATTGGGGTGTCCTACGAGGTTTTTGAAATTCGGTTTTTCATCAGGGTGATTGGGAACATTGTGTTTTTTTTTTTTCAACAAAACCTATAACTTCTCCTACATAGTACTCAGTAGCTTATTAAAGGGTTTTTATCACGCATCGAAATTTCTTAAAAATTAAACACTATTATATTCTTGGAACATATAATTATCGTTTGACTATAAAATAATGTTTTAAACTGTCGTATTTAAGCCATAATACATCCGTAATGTAGGGCCTTCAGACTAAAAATCTCCACTAATTAGATAGGGGTCACGTGGTACTGAAACGTCATAGGTGTCAATGGGAAATTAGACCTCGTAAAGCGTATCGTAAGAAAACATCTACCGTATAGATATTTGCATTAAATAAAAAAGAATACATCACTAGATTGGAAGAAATTTTGATATTGACAATATAACTTTGTATATATGGATGTTCAATCTTATATGTATTAACTTCTACAACAGAAAACTAAACAAAAACATACCGTGAAAGGAGGATAGGGAATTGAAGACGAAGCCGTTAATGACAACTCCTGGCTTCGACTGAATAGATCGAATTATTAACGTTTGATTTCTTAAATAATTATAAAATTGGTCGTTATACGTTTTCTTACTTCGTTATTTTAATAAATTATACATAAACAAATCTTGTATATATTCTATCTGTTCCAGCAATGAACATCATTTGATAGAAAGGCCACTTCGATCTTCAATGGCGCCGTGCGCCATTACGAACTTCACAACACATAGTGCATGATCTGTGTGCCGGGCTTTTAAAATGCCTATTGATAAATTATTATTTTTTGAAAAATACCATTTCCATTAAATGGATATTTTATATAATACAGAAAAAATTGTGACCGTACATAAACGAATGCTCTGAATGGAGACAAATCCACGCACCGACCAAGTCCCTGGCAGGTAAAAAAGAAACTTCCTAAAACCTTTCCTGTGCTGATTTTTTATCCAGACCCACAAATTATATCTAATTATTTATCAATCAACCAATTATCATTTATTTAATTTCTAGTAGGGTTTTAAGACGAAGCCATTGAGCCGTTTTGTAAACACAATAAGTACTTCGCTTGACCAGGACTGACACCTATGACGTCAGAGCAATGGCGCGCAACATCGGCGATCAAAATATGCATATTGAGAAATTTAAACTTTGAATCGCTGAAACACCCAAAATATTAATTTTCTAACCAAAAAAATTTGATGGATGATTTTAATAGCATATAAACCTTATTATACCAAAAAATCATGATGCATGATAAAAACCCTTTAAGTTTTGGTATTTAATTGGTATACTGTCTTGCAATTGTGCAATGTCTTTAAGAACTGCGAACGATAGTATTGTTGTCCCGCCTACCTCCAAATTAATTTTCAAAAGTTGCCATATTCGATGAAGTTTTGATATTTTTTTTTATATATAACTATATGGATTTTCATAAAACATTACTTATTTGGGAAAACAAAGAGAGATAACTAAAACTTTGGTAAAACTTGTGTTTTTCACTATAGAAATCAACGGAAAACGGAAAATATTTTTAAAACATCCCCCGTGACACAAAAATTCCTTTTACAGGTAAACTGGACTGTTATTTCACAAACTGATACAAACCTCCTTGTGTGACACGGGGGGACATATGTTTATTGACAAAAAACGACAAAAATTATTAATTTTTACACATTTCAAAGCGATTCACAACTGAAACATTATATTTTATTAATATATTTACGGTTTATTTATTTGCCTAAAACATAAGAAAAAATATGAGGAAGATTTAATCATATCCAAGACTATTTCAAAATATGGTGATGCCTGAAAGTCCGATTTCAATGGAAAATATCGTCTACCCCCCATTTTCAAGAGCTGGAGTTATGGATAATTTACTATTTAGCGCTGGTATTAAGACAATTCATCAATTTCCATTGAACTGTTCTTTGTATTAAACAAAGAATTTAATTTATTGAATTAAATGATTGCAAAATGTAGGCGGGAATCGAGAGTTAGCATGCTTATTTCTTTCGATCTTCTACCTCTTTATAAAGGTTCCCTGAACTTCTCATATTTTACACAGAAGCCCAGTCTTAATTTGGAAGAAGTCTCATGTCTGGGCCTTTCCCTTGTTACCCAAACATGAAAAAGGGTACATTTAGTGGAAAGCATCTAAGTGCAGCCATTGGTGTCTTTCTGTATAACAGCTTTAAGTTTGTCAAAAATAAAAACGAAGAAAGACAACTCCCTCAAAGGATGGGTAACGTATGATCATTAATAACTATAATCACTATTTTCTAGCAAGGTGAAATCCGGCAATTTTTAATGAAAATAAAATAAAACTCAGTTCAAAAACTTATCCTACCTCCTTCGCCACGAAATAGGGTTTATTTTTGCTTGTCAAACTTAAATTTTCAGGTATTAGAGATCTCGCCAACCCAACCCACCCTATATAAACGAAACTCTTGGTTATGGTTACTTCAAATATTTAGGAACACAATATGATTCATTGGTGTTAAGCATCGAACTAGTATAAAAACGTATATTGTATACAAATAATACACTAAAGTGTCAGTACAAGCTACTTACTCCAGTATACTTTTTTGTTGTTGTACAAAACTAGAATATTTTAAATTTTTTTGTTTTTGTTTTTGCACGGAATCTGGAAATGTTTCTATAATTAATTATCGCACCACGAAGATGTTAATTGATGGCATAATAATGAAACGATGGTGTTGTTGTGAAGACGATGTCGCACTGAAGACGTAATAATGAGATTGGATGAAAACCTCACTTTAATAATATTTTGACCCTGGACCATCATTAATATTTTAAAACCCACGGCAATTTCATTAACATTTTTTCAAGCATTAATATAATACCGCGTTAGTGCCACCTGAAGTATTAATTGAGCCACACTCTGGTGTTTCAGCATTTTAATATCATCAGAATCGGAATCAGAAAATTTTATTTAAAGTCGAGTTTTTTTAAACAAGTAACATAAGCTATGTAGAGCTTTTAATTGACATAAAAGCATGTCTGGGTTATTAAGGTCATATACATGTACATATACATGCGTTTTGTATCTCTTGGTATTAAATAAAAAATTAGTCACATTTGTCATTCTCTTCTGATTTCTACATTATTTTCTGAATGTTTTTAAATATAAGTACACCAAAAATTGTGATATAGGCCATTCAGAAGATTACCTATTAGGGTTATATACGAAATTAACCCAGTAGTATCTTGTCGAAATGCCTGGTAAGGTACCCTAATTTTTTGTGAGGAATCTTGTTCAAGTACCTAATGACAAATTCTTGGGAAAAATTATATACTTTTGAGGAACGTGTCGTCTGACCTTAAAGTTTAACATATTAGGGTTCTACTCTGCACATTGATGTATACATCTGCAAGAATGTACTACATAAAAAAAAAACTTTGAATACTATCCTTTATTATCTAATCATCAAAACTTTTTCTATTTCTCTTCTTTAGTGAATCTGCCTTCTTCCTTCTTAAACGTATTTCATTAGCTTTGTCTAACCTGTTCAAATAAACAAAACAAAATCTATGAGTTTAAATACATGTATGTGTACTACTTGTACAATAATTTTTTTTCATTTTACTTTTTCAAAAATCAATTCATGATCAAAATTAGGGAATAACTAAGTGTGTTGTTCTTGTTATCAAAATCAATCTTTACACGTCAGTTTGCTACATGTAGTAGGCCCTAGTGATCAATGAAAAATGACACACACAGAGGATATGTTACACTCTGTTATAAGTATTTATTAGCTTTTTCATCACAGATCTTTCTGAAAATCATAGTGGAATCCTAAAATACCTTTGTGTTAGTATCTGTTTGTCCTTTTCTGTTATCTCCGCTGGTTTTGTGGCAGATTTATGAATCATCTCTCGAACCTTGTTTAGGCAGTCTGCCTGGTTTAGCATTTGTGTTCTTGTTTTCTCAGAGGTAACAACCAAAAATCCATCTTTTGTTATTTTACTCTGCTCCTTCAAAATCAAAGTTTGGAATTCAAATTCATAACACTACATTTAAATATTAATTTATTTTAAAAACATTTTTTTTAACTTTATGTAAGCATACATTATTGAAGAAGTTAATTAAATTTGAAAAGCTGGTCATGGTCTTCTGCTGTGTATTTTAAATCATGCTTATAACGAAGTGCAAGGGAGAGGAAATTTTGATTTTTATAAATCAATTTATTACATCACAATACATCTGTTAAATTCACAATATACTTCAAAGCCAGTAGAATGTACACGTAAGAGTAAGAGTGTTTACTGTAATAATGACCTTGCTTATACTTGTCACTATTTTAAAAAGTCCTACTCACATTTTCAATGAGATTTTCTTTAATCCATTGAGGAATCCAAGAGGCACTTTCAACATGGAACCTTACTTCTACCTTTGAACTGACTGCAAATTATAATAGTATTGTAAATGCAAAACTATATCACAATGTTAACTGATAGAGTAAAAAGTTTATTTTATTGGAAATATAAACATAGCATATTCTATGGAATATAATGTCATACTTTGTCACCCATGCCAAGAAATAACAATTACATTTATTTCCCAGCAGATTTGTGAATGCAATTTCAGCTGTCCCTTTTGTTTTGCAATGCTCTACATTTATGAACTTAAACATTCTATTAAAAACAACAATTAAATCCAATCTATACAATACACTCATGCCCAATTTACACATCTAAAATCGTTTTTTAAAGAATCTTCAATTCAAATTCATATATTTTAGAATAAGTGAGAGTTCCTCTTCTTGTTCCTCCACATCCCCTCTCCCCCCTTTTTGGCACCTCAGTCTCATATTGCTTAGGCCAAACAAAACTAGAGGTACTGTGAGCAATGAGCTCACTAAATGATACCCCCCGCCTCCCATATGAATAAAATGGCAGTGTCCATGTTTTGCTCTGGAAAATTCAAAATATATGTTGGATCAAAAAATAAAATAGGAGGTGCACAATGGCAATATGTAATTAAGATTCTCTGAAAGTTTCATTAAATTTCCTTCAGTGGTATGAGAGGAGTTGCGGATAAGAGATGGGTACCCCAAAGCGTAACAGACGGACGGACAGACGGACGGACGGACAGACGGAAATACCGATTACTATATACCCTCCCGCTTTTCAAGCGGGGGGTATAAAAATAGGTGAGGTTTCGGTTACACCTTCAAAAAAATTAGGATAGGTGGGTAGGGTTTTTTTTTTTTTTTTTTTTTTTTTTTTTACAAAATTATATTTGATTTTTTTTCGTAATACCTATCACTGCTTTGCAGGTGGCATTTAGATGTGGCATGATAATATTGGTGGGTGCTTAGTTATGAAAATCATCCCCCCTGGTCATTATTGATCTTTACACTGGCTGAAACAAAAAATAATACTAGGAACCAATGATGGATTTAGAAAGAAAGTTACGGGAAAAAATTGGAAATTGCCAAAAAAAAGTTTAGGGTGGGGGTGAAAAATAGGGAAGGTAGGAATATCAGAACCACACATATTTTTTGATTTGGCCTTACTGGTAAATGCCGTATTGCTTATATTGACACCATAGGTAAGCGCTCAAAGAAATTCCTACTGTAGTGATTGTGTATACAGGTGTATATATATAATTATTTTTAAACAGCTACTCAATGCTCTTCCTTAACGATAAGTTAATTACATAATTCTTATGCTTTCAAGGTGTTGTTCCTTATGAGCATCAGCCAGTGGGTATATAAATGCCATTAAATAGGGACAAACTTTGTGTCAGTCAGTCAATGTGCCATTTCAAATTCATTTATATGAAAGAACATTCAAATGATAGCGCTAGCAGATTACTGTTTTTAAATTGTGATGTGTTTTACATAGTAAGGGCACCCGGGTCTGTAAATGATTTGTATATAAACTTACTAAATTAGACAGTTTTACTTCCAACTACCCGGTATGACATTGAGAAAATACTTTAGGCTTACAATTTAATGAAAAATGGTATATAAAGTAGTTTACCACTTGATGGCTCTACCTTACCTTTGTTTACATTCTGTCCACCTGGACCACTCCCTCTTATTGCTTTAATTTGAATGTCATCTGAAAACAAACCAATTAAACGATAGAAATATTGATCCTATTAACAGAATATTGCATACATTGTTAAAGAAGCAAGAAAATATTGTAAATAACATTAAGTGATAGTCCTTTTTTAAACTTAATACATGCATGTAGATCACTGCAGTTGAAATGAAAGAAGGCTAATGTATAAACAAATAAAACAAATATTGTGGGAAATGGATAAAGACATAAACAAAATATATACAAAGTGATATCAAAGTGTACGTTGCAAAATAAATGCAAAACAAAATTTTAACAAATCAAAGAGGCTAATGTTCTAAAATGCTCACCCGAGTCATAATAATGCCCTTTTCTTCATACGAAGATTTATTCAATATATATTGATTATTCCTATGCAAGACTTATTTTCTAGGCCTACTTTGTACACAGGTATATGCATGAATCATAAAATGGAGAACCAATTAATGTACTACCTAAAGGTATGTAGCCTGTGAATTCTTCTTCTGTTTCACTACTATATGCATGCTGTAAATGAATTTAAAAAATATTAATTTATTTTAAAACAACACATAAGATGCATTACTTAAAAAAAATAATCTTAATCCGAATTTGCACGTTTACTTACCTTGATCTCAACCTTCTTTAGAAAATTCTGATCGCTGTTTGGATAAATGTTTTCAACAGAGTATTTGCTTTTATATGAGGATGAATATAGGCGTAGAAATGTTGGGTAATTATATGATATTTGGAGTTTTGTAAGGCATGACCTGATCCGTCTCAGAAACATATTTTAGAACTCTTCTTTTTCTGGAAAGCATAAAAGGACACTAAATTTATTATTTTAAAAATCTTCCGATAGGAAGTTTTTGTTCCGGAATAATCAACGAAGGTGTGGGTGGGTTGGGGGTGGGGTCTTAAGGTTAAGTTTTATACCCCTGCTACGAAGGAGAGGGGGTATACTGTTTTACCTTGTGTGTCTTTCCGTCTGTCTGTCCGTCCGTCTAGCTGTCCTAACAATCGTCGCAGTTTTCTCGATCAGCAAGCATAGGCGCTTGGTTACAGGATGCTATATTTTGTGTATTATGTGTTTTTCTAGGTGTGTCTGAATACCCTCATCAAAATAAAAATACAAATTCGCCGAAATTAGCACGTTTTAAAAATGCCATATTTACTGTATATAAAAAGATACTCTTTTCATACACAGTAAATATCATTTTTTAAAACGTGCTAATTTCGCAATTTTTATTTTTATTTTAAAGAGGGTATTCAGGCACACATAGAAAAACACATAATACACAAAATACACCATCCTGTAACCAAGCGCCTATGTCAGCAAGTAGGCCTACTCATCGCAGATGCTTCAGTGAAACTTGACCACATACTTTCCTGAGGCATGTCATTAGTGGGATTCATTTTTGTTCAAATCCGGTATCAGTATGTGTCTTCAACTACTCATCGCAGATGCTTGTAAATTAGCACATTCTTTGCTGAGGCATGCCATATGGTGGTAATCATTTTTATTAAAATCCGATGTCAACTTCCTGTTTTTCCGTGCGTCTGTCCATATATAACAAAATTTCATCGCGGTAGCTGCAGATCTGTAGCGTTAAGGTTTTATATATTTGTCTTTGACCATAACGCTGCAGATCCCGTAGTGCAAAAAAGGTGCAATTTACGGCGCAATATTTTTTGCGCTCTTTTAGGGAGAATTTCTCCACTTTCCAGCATCGTTCAATCAACTACCTTTCAACAATTCTAGACACATAATTTAATTAATCTGTATATTTTATCCATCTCCCAACCCTTTATAGTCGTCTCTACAAGTGATAAACTCGCTTGTTAGATTACTGAAAATTCATATCCATGCAGCGAGTTTATTGCCTGTAGAGACAACTATAAATGGTTGGGAGGTGGATAAACTATACATATTGGCTACAGAATGTGTTAATAATTAGGGAGTAAAGGTTTCTGTGAGTTGCTTTAAGGCATGTATAAACTGGAAAATTGTAAGTCAAAATTTTGGCTAAACAAAGTTTTTCAAAAATCACCATCTGTAGCGTTATGGTCGAAAGTGACTATAATATATAAAACCATATAACGCTACAGATCTGCAGCTATCATCGCAGTTGCTTGAATTTTTAGCACATTTTTTGCTGTGGCATGCCATGTGGCAACGCCCTTTGAAAAAATTACGCACTTTGAAAAAAAATCCAAAGTGCATTAAAACTGGGACAACATTTACGCACTTTAATTTTTTTTTTCAAAGTGCGTTACATTTGGGACCAACCCAACGCACTTTGAAAAAAATATGTATAAAACAAACATTTCGGACTTAGATTTTAGTAGTGGAAAGCATTAATTTGTAATTTAAAAAATATAAATTATTTACCAAAAATCGCGAAGATTTGAGTAGTGGAAAGGTTTTTGATTAACTCTTTATATTTCCAATACATAGGCGTCGGTGGCAAATAAAACAGGGGGAGGGGTAGCTGCACATCTGTAGCGTTATGGTTTTATATATTTGTCTTTGTTATGGTCAAAGACAAATATATATAAAACCATAGCGCTACAGATCTGCAGCTAGGGGAGGGGAATAATGAACCAAAAAATTGGAAAGCCGCATTTTCAATGCCTATATGATGTACATAAAGTGTTTTTGGTGCAGGTCTCGTTTCCAAGTAACCTATAAGCCCTAAGTTGACCAAATACATGCATAAATGATCAACTAAGGATGTGCTTCAGATGCTGGATCTGACATATACATTTTCCAGATAATGGATCAAGGTAAAGTTTTGGTTGTAGTTCTGAGGTAAGTTCTTTGATTATCTCTGTTTCAGTTAAGGTTATCTTAACAATTTCAACCCTGTTTCACTTTTTATAGCTGTCAGGCAAGTTGTTAAAACAAAGTTTACGTGCGTAGCTATAGGAAAAAAGATTTATTTTTAAATTGTATTTTGAGTAAAAATTCAATAAAAATTGTTTGGATTTAATAGTAAACATTATGTACAACTATATATATAATTATACATGTAACAAAGCATATCAGGCTCGTAGGAATAGTTTAATTTGTACAGGCACAACCATGCATGCACCTTTTTGATTCAGTTGGGAGGGGCACTTCCCAAAACTTTCCCTGACAAGCAACTATCTAAGGCATTCTTTAAAAAGAATGGACAATGTGACATAAGTAATTTAATTAAACGTTATGACTGTAATTAAAATGAATTTGTAACCTCCATAATTTATTTAGAGTTTTCCTCAAAATTGAAATTTAATAATGGAGTAGACATAATTATGAGTAGACATAACTGTTAATTGCGCATATGATTATGGAGTTTTGCTCACAGATAATTCATAATATAATATCCTTTAAATAATATTGCATATTTGGAAAAAAAAAATCTTGGCAGCGGTGGGATTCGAACCCACGCCTCCGAAGAGACTGGTGCCTTAAACCAGCGCCTTAGACCGCTCGGCCACGCTACCTCCTTGCACTCTGGACAGTTCAAAGTGTAACAGACTAGTAAGTAGGTAAAGACAGGTAAATATAGATGGCAGCACTACTAATTCTTCACCGGAAATAGATACCTTGAAAAGTGAATAGTTTACTAAACTTGTAATCGTTTTTTATCCAGGTAAAGTTATTATTGTTTAACCATTAGTGTCTTGAATCGTTATATTTGTATCTGACATCATACATCAAACGATTATAAAAAGTTTTCGACTGATTGATCTTTAATCAGTCTACCCGAAAAGGTGTGAAAATTGGACAGGTGTCAAAAACTTAGTCATTCAGGATGGACTCGTCGTGTGTTTATTTATGACCGGAGAGTAGTATAAGAATGGGACAATTATGAGAACCACGTGTCATTTTTAAAAATGTGCATACCCAGAAATCTACATTGATTGATGTGATGGAACGTGATTTTCTGTGGACTGTGTGTTGAGGAATGGGGAATTCCTCTTCAGTACAAATATCTATGCTAGGTCTGGATTCCTCCGGTAAAACCACTATCTTATATCGCATGAAGTTTCAACAATACACAAACGCCACCCCAACAATCAGCTATAATTGTGAAACCATCAAAGTGAAGGAGGGGCGAGCAAAAGGCATCACTTTTAAGATTTGGGATGTGGGGGGACAAGACAACAAGAGACCTTTATGGAATCAGTACACACGTTCTTCTGATGGGATTATATTTGTGGTGGATAGTGTAGATAGAGAGAGACTTGAAGAAGCAAAGTTGGAACTTATCCGGTTACTTAAAAATGCAGACAATCAGAGACTGCCCCTACTTGTTATCGCCAACAAACAAGACTTGCCAAATTCTTTGGACTTGTGTGAAATCGAGAAATTATTAGGACTTAGGGATCTTCACCCAGGGCAAGTGTGGGCAATACAAGGGGCATGTGCCATTACTGGGGAAGGACTTCCAGAGGCAATGGATACCATGTTTGACCTTATAGTGAAAAAGAAAAGTTTAAAGAAGAGGAAATGATGAAAATTCCTCATGTTTATTATAGTCCAATTATTGTGTGAATGTGTGTTGTGACAGGCGGCTATTTATGACTCGTACAGAATATTTTAGAAAAAAATATCTTTTATTGTTTAAACTTTTTGTGCAATTTTGTTTGAAAAGGGTTGTATTTAGATACTGTTTTGAGATATTTTTTACTTAATTAATTTACTTTTGTTTATTTTGCTGTTTTATTTTGAAGAGTACTACCCATGCATGAATATACCAAAGTGTAAAATTTGTTATATATATTATTAATATATGTCTTGTTAATATAATTCGCTATGCATGTTTTTGTGTAAAAATATTTTTAATTGTTTATAAAAGTGCTTATATATATTCCTGAAAGTTTCCAAAAGGTTACTATACCTCATTTTTTTGATAAGGTAAAAGAAAGTAGTTCTAAATGCATCAACTACAAGTGTTAAAAAATTGTAACTATATGAGTATATGTATCTTTCTCCCGGACCATTTGATTTTCGCAAGACCAGATACAACTGCCAATATGTCACTTGCTTATTAGCACTGCTTGTTAAACATATTACACAGTGAACATTACTTGGAGCTTAATCTGACAAGCAGGCCAGCATTATAACTGCCTTGTATCAGTTATGACTGTCTTGTATCAATCTGTTCCATTCTGCCTTCAGGGATAAACATAGTACAGATGGTGCCTGCTCACTGTTTGTACATCCAGTCCACTTTCAAACAGACTGTAATTTTATATTGACCATGTTGACTAACACATGACCAGATCCCTACCTCTTATTATGCCTTTTCTTTGTTACTTTGTTGTTTTATATTTGAAGACATTCCAAAAAAAGCTGTTTTGTAGAGATAAAGTATTTTTTTCTGAATCAGTGCTTGTCTAGTTTGTAGCGGTGTGTTTGTTTTTTCTTTTGATTTGTCAGTGAAGATTAACATATTGTTTTTTTAAGTAATGTACAATTAAATTGGATAATCCAGGGTTTGTGTGTAAAAATCAAAACTTCAAAAAAGGCATTAGTTTTGAAATTATTGTTATTTTTATACACAGGAATGATATTGGATTCTTTTTTTCTGTTTGTAACAGATATTGAAACAAAGAATTCCACAAGAAAATCCTTGTTATAAATAAATGTCAAATAACAATTTTTGAAGAGGTATTTTATAAAACTGACTGCAAGTTATGACCAGATAAAAATTCCAGTGGTATGAATGAAAGGTTAGACATAATTTACATAGTATTTGGGCATTTAATAATAGCCTTAGCAAAAACATTGTGGGATAAACATGGAAAAATTGTTTATTTAGTTATAACAAGGGATTGACATGCTTACTTTAGTGGTATGTATGTCAGAGTATACATGAAAATGGCAAGTTTAATTCAGGTGCACATACGTAACTCAAAAACTTAAATTTTTAATTTGAGAACATCTGCTTTTTGTAAATACATGTACATGCCACTAATTTTCATCTGAGTATATAAAGTTAATATATTGAAATATGTCAATGAATCTAAAAGAACAGAGTTTTTAAAGTAGAAATTAAATTCTTCCTCATGATAGAAATCTTTTGAAAAGTGGTTGAAACAAAACTTTATAAACAAGCATGATAAGTGTTCAGTCATTATTAATTTGGTAATTCTTTTAAATCTTAGATAAAACATGATTTCACAGGAAGAAATATTGGAAAATGTTATGTTTATGAAATGTAAGTTTTAACCTAGGGACCAATACTAACGTAAAATCGATAGATAGATAACGTAACTTTTTTTTGATAATTGAATTAAAGTTCACAAAGATAATCTGTACATCCTTGTTTATGTGGTTCACATATCATAGAAGTGTAATCTGTTTATGTTACTGTGTAGACATTTCCTTGTTAGCCATTTATTATACTCAATCATTTTATCTCTCATCAAGTTTAAGGTATCTGCAAAGTGACAATGGATAGCAATATTGCTTGTTCTAAATTTATTAAAACAACAAAAACAAATCTGAGTTCTTTTTTCTTTTGAAACAGCTTTTAATTGTGTTTCTATTTAAGGTACCAGACTTTATTTTAAGAACAAAATTTTCCCACAACAGGGTGATATGCAAATGTAAAATGATATGTATATTTGTTACAAAATACAATGTATCCTATATTACACATGTATTTTCGAAAAATTGTCGTCATATAAACTTGTCCTCTAAGTAAATTTAATGACCTTGAATAGACAATTAAATGCAGATTTTTTTATTATACAGAAAGTGCATATGCTACCACAAGAGGGATCAGGGTAAAATTCAGGGTAAAATTCTCAAATGATTTAATAGAGAAACTTAATTTTCCTACATGTACCAAATACAAATTTCAAGAGCATATTAACCCCGTGAATTTTTAATTTGAAAATGCCATCATCATCCCTATGATAACCCATTTTGTTGTCTTGGTCAGCAACAAAGTCTTCCCAGTTCTCTCTGTCTTGGGTCACTTTTGTCAGCAATCCCCAAGAGTGTTACATGGCTCTCACTTCTTGCCCCATTTTCTGTCCATCTCCATGTTGTTGATGATCATCTCTCTTTCTGTTGTGGGCATTTAGATATATGGATGGCGTATTGTCAATTAACAGGGGTAATTTCCAATTTTATGTAGATACGATATATTCTGGTGAGCTTGAGATAAAAGATACCACAGAATCTGACACAACTGTTTCATATTTGGATATTTTACTTGAAATAGATGTTAATGGTAATTTAACAACTAAGCTCTATGATTCAATGTGTTGACTTTACCTTTTCTATTGTCAACTTCCCTTACTTATGCAGCAGCATACCTTCATCACCTGCATATGTAGTTTATCTCTCTTAGTTGATTCGATACGCAAGAGCATGCCCTACCTACGAACAATTTCTAAAACGAGGTAAATTATTGACAAACAAGTTAATGAAACGAGAATTTCAGCTGCCTCGTTTAAAGTCATAATTTCATAAGTTCTATGGTTGATACAATGACCTTGTCAGCAAATACAATTTATCCTTGAGTCAAATGCTGACTGACGTTTTTCACACTAATTGTTAGTCCATTATTTATACACTGATTTGACGGATTTTTTCGTTATTTCCCGATCATGACAAGGAGCACACGGTGGGTGTGACCGGTCGGCAGGGGATGCTTACTCCTCTATGGCACCTGATCCAACCTCTGATGTTTCAGAGATCCGTATTTGCTCTGCTCCTATTTTGTATTGTTTTATGGCCTTTTGATCTTGAATACTGTTCGTTAACTCCATATGTTTCTTTTCCTCTGAAGCCAATACGTGAAATTTTACATTCATCTTTTAATTAAATGTATATCATTTAGAGGATATATGTATAATTACAAAAAATTGTATTGACTTAACTATACCACATACTCAAGGTTCTTTAGTACAGAAATCTCCCAAGAGCAATGCGTCCAACTTAAAAAAATCACAATAGAATTTGTTGTATCTCTTTGGTGAGGACGTTATGACGACCGTAGGCTGACCATTTAGGCAAAAAATAGGTTAATATAACCACACATGTATGTAGACAAAATAAGTTATTGTTTGCAGTTCGTTAGTACAGAGTAGTAATGGTATTTCACAATGTTGGAATGAAATATATGGAGATAGCGAACAGTATTTAAGCTCAAAAGTACATTCAAACACTACGAATAAGAAGCAGAGTTAACACGGAGGTATCAAGCTTCCGGGCATGCAGTCATGTATATATCTTTCAAAACTAACTTTTTCAAAAATCATTTCTTTTGACCATGCATTTGAAACTCTTCTGTAAAGAATTTAACAATAAGTTCTCTGAAGAACGAAATCAAGAGGCACGACGATTATATTCAACTAAGGAGCACTACCATTAATACCAAAGGACTTGAAATCAAACCCTTAATATGTCCTAAACTACAGGGTCTGCAGTAAAATCTACAGCATTGACATCAGATTTTATTAAAGATATAAAACACGTCAGAAAGGGTTCTTATCCAAAATACTTTATATCACCACTATTTTTACAGAAACCGTGAGCTGAATCTTTTTTCAAACTGAAATGCAGCTTACTAAACCCAACTTTCACAATTTAAGTAATAAAATAAGTCGACAGCAAGTTGAAGTTCCAAATGAAGATACCAAAAGGACAATTATTATAGTATTTTGAGAAATTTTATGTCAATAGCGAGATTGACTGTCAGTAGCATTGATTCATAGTTGATTTATAACGACGTCATTCTCATGTAAGCAATTTTAAGTTGTTCAGAAATGTTCAAAAGTTCCTCTGATTTCAAGTATGCACCCCTGATTTACACTTCTTGAATGAAATATATGGAAATAACGAATAGTATTCAAGCTCGAAAGTCCATAAAACAATACATACATATTAGTAGCAGAGCAAACACGGACCTCCAGAATATCAGAGGTGGGATCAGGTGCCATTGAGGAGTGAGCAGTGGTAGAGGGGGAGTTGCGGATAAGAGATGGGTACCTTCAATATCATAGAAAGAATGGCTGTGTCCATGTTTTGCTGTGAGAAACCCAAAATATGTGTCGGATCAAAACTGAAGTAAAATAGGATAATGGCTCTATGTAAAATAGATTCTGTGAAAGTCTCATTAAATTTCATTCAGTGGTGTAAGAGGAGTTGTGGATAAGAGATGGGTACCCCAAAGCGTAACAGACGTCCGGACGGCCGTAAGACGGATGCATTGCAGGTTCCAGTAAATGTTCTACCAACCCTCTTTCTATACTCCCTACTAACATATTAACAATAGTGAAGGAGAAACTTCATGAATATTGTAGAGTAATATATCAGTTCTGAATAATTTTTAATATACCAAACAACCAAAATTAATTTGAATTACTGTCTATATTGGACTCCGAAACGTCATAAAAATTCTTACAAACTTGAAGATACATAGCGGTTCCAGTGGTTGATACAATGACCTTGTCAGCAAATACAATTTATTATTTAGTCAAATACTGACTGACCGTGCGTTTTTCATACTAATGGTTAGGCAATTATATTCACACTGAATCGTCAACGATTTTTTCCCGTTATTTCTCGATCATGACAGGGAGCACGCGACGGGATTGTACGATCGGCAGTGGATGCTCACTCCTCCATATGGCATCTGATCCCACGTCTGATGTTTTGGAGGTCCGTTTTTGCTTTAGCTCCTATTTTCTATTGTTTAATGGACTTTTGATCTTGAATACTGTTCGTTATCTTCATATATTTCATTTTATTATAAACTTGACTACGGAGTGTTCTGTAGAAATTTTCGAGAGTCCTTCTTTTATGTCACTTTCATAGATTTGAATATTGTTTGAACACGTAATTATTTTTTACATCGATCACGGTTCGTTATCTTAACATTAAACTTTATTAAGTACTTGAATATTGGTTTATTGATGAATTATTTACAGTAATTATGATTTAGCAAGGGGAGTTGGTCTGACTTAGTATTCAGAGAAAATGCGGGAAAATACAATTCTGCCAACTGCTTCTTCAATTAAGAAATGGAACTTGGAAATGTTTGTATCTTGTTATTAGTCGTCATTAAAACTAGATAGTGCTATGATTTTACACAAAAGTAACCCGAAGTTGATATGAATAAGTTATCTTCACCACTTTTCTGGTTACCCCCTCCCCGCCCCTATTGCCACGTGCCTGTTTTTATGTTTAACAGGAACCATAAAATGTTAAGAAAGGTGTAAAAAAAAAAAGATTGTTCAAAATTTGCCGCTTTTTCGATTTCAGTGCGTATTATCACTTTCTTTTGGCCTATTTCCGTTTTTGTGTTCCGGTGAAATAGATTTAGTCATTAGATGTAAAGCAGGAAGATGAAGTGTAAGTTAGATTTTATATAAACATGTACTTAGTATACGTAATACAGAATTAATTACTTCCCATATGTTTTTCAAATTTTAATCGTGAATGGCACTATCTCTCTTTTATTTTTTAATTTTTTCACGGTAGGCCTATTGCATAAATAATGTAAATATAGAAGTCGACGGTGCCGAGTCCGTTTGCTCACAAACCAATTTTGTACAATATTTACTGAGAGCTAGTCCACTGAATTTCAGTTACGGGGAGAGGGTTGCGTAATTTAAATATTTCAGGGTCTCACTAAATTACAGATAGGTTGTGCTTTTTTTAATCAAAATATTTGATTGAGGGAATCCTAATGTATTAAAGAAAACATTCTATATAGTACACACTGCTTGAAATCAAGCATATTCGTACATGTAACCCATGTTTTGTTTGTTTGCATGCTTGCTTGTTAATCGTCCCTTTGAGAATTTTCACCATTTAAATATTGAGACTAGCAGTGTGTAAGCATTCAAATATCCAAGTGCATCAAAACATAGTTGAATATGCTTTGATCTTTGCTTTTTTTCTTAAATTATTTGTTCAAAACTCTAATTTTAGATACAATTTGTCCTTCATAACAAGTCCAATGGCAGCAGATGATTCGTTTGACCAAGACATCGTATTTGCTCAAGACCTTATAAAGTGTACCCTTTGCAGCAACAGTGTAGAACTTTACTGTAAACCATGCGGCCTCAATATATGTGGTGGCTGTGCAGGAAGGCATATGTTATCTACACCCGAAAAGAAACACGATATTGTAAAATACGATAAAAAGTATCTGACTAGTCCAAAACCTTCATGTCCAAGTCATGAAGACCAAATCTGCGAGCTCTTTTGTGAAAAATGTAATATCGCTGTCTGTGCAACATGCATATCTAGTAAGGCTCATTATAACCACAGTATCGTTGAAATTTCAGTTGTTTTCAAGCAAAAGGTTAATTTCATAATTCAAGAAACGAAATCGTTAGAAGAAAAAATTGCCCCTGAGTATGAGAAAATTCCTAAAGACTTAGATGGGAAGGTGAAAGCCTTGATTAATAATAATACATTACTAAAGAAAGAAATTACAAGTTATGGTGAAGAATTGCAGAAACAAATCAAAGAAACAGTCAATAAATATGTGGTCCAAATTGAAACGATGGAAAAACAGGACATTGCTGACTTGAGAAATAGCATTTCTAGATTCCAGAATATTACAGGGGAAGTCAATCATGCCATTCAACAAAACAAAGAAATGTTGAAAGCCAACGATGTTCAGATATTCGATTATCAGTCTGTTATAAAGAAGTTTCAGAAAGTCCCAGCTCGTATTAACGTGACGCCGCCTTGTTTTAAACCTAGTCTTGACAAAGGAAAACTTTTTGAAAACATTGGAATGCTATCTGTATCGACTAAAAGGCAGGAAGATGAATATTTAATTCAGTTGACGGAGGGGGCTGTGCTACCCATGGCCAGGTCTTATTTCAGGGAGCTTCTCCCAAGACCCATGATTATTGCAACAGTAGAATGTAACTATAAAGAGTTATACAAAATCAGTTGCCTTTCCTCGGAAGAAGCTTGGATAAGTGGCAACGACAAAACGATGACAAGAGTCAACAAAGGAGGATCGGTCCTTGAGGTGATGAAAACCAAGTCTGGGCGCTCAACCAATGGTATCGCTGTTACGAAAACAGGGAACCTTTTGTACGCCGATTGTTACGGTAAAAAGATTGAAATGGTAAAGAAAGGGAAAGTTAAGTCAATAGTCAAAACTGAATGGAAGCCAACGGAGGTTAGCTGTACACCTACTGGAGATATTTTAGTCTCGTTGTGGAATGACAAGCCCTTGGACAACAAACTATTGAAGGTTCAAAGGTATTCTGGGGATTCATTTGAGCTGAAGCAAGAGATCCAGTTTGATGAGAATGATACATCGCTTTTTCGATGTTCAGGGGATTATACTGCGCTTGTCACTGCTGAAAACAGGAATGGAGACATCTGTATAGCAGACTGGAATGCTAGATCCTTGCTTATACTGGATAAAAGTGGCAAATTGAAGACGACTTACACTGGCTTTCAAAGCAAGGTATTTGATCCTAGGTATGTGGCCACAGACAGTCACGGACACATTCTAGTCTCGGACTATGACAACAACTGTGTACATATTCTCAATGAATCTGGTCATCTCGTCTCTCTGATTGAGTATCTCAGAAAACCCGAGGGTATAGACGTCGATGATGATAATAACTTGTGGTTGGTGGAAAGAGAAGGAAAACTCAAAATCATCAAATACATGGAGTAGAATCCGGATTAGTTAGTTACAATAGTTATAATGTTAGACTGTGTGACATACCCGGTAGTATGTGATGGCTATCAGTTCATTATTTCTAGGTATTTTGTAGGTATACAAAACATCCCTGAGTCAAATATAACAAATGGATATAACTACATGCACTAGTATTTAAGCTCGAAAGTCCAATAAACTTTACAAATTGTGTAGCAGAGCAACAACGGATCTCTAAACCAGCAGAGGTGGGATCGGGTTCCTTGGAGGAGTGAGCATTCCCAGCCAACAGGTCACACCTGTTGTGTGCTCCATGTGTTGATCGGGAAATAACGGGAAAATTCAGTCTGTAAATAATGATTTTCCAATTAGTATGAGAAAGCCAATCAGCATTTGATTTAATGATGGATTGTATTTGCTGACAAGGTCACTGTATCGAGCATAGAACTTACGGAATAATGATTTTAAACGAAACTGCTGATATTCTTGTTTCATCAACTTCCCTGTCAATAACTTACTAGTTTTAGAAAGTGTGCTCTTGCGTATCGAATCAGCTGAGAGATATAAACTCATAATGCAGGTGAGAAAGGTATATTGCTGCATAACTAAGGAAAGTTGACGGTTGCAAAGTTAAAGTTATCAAGTTTATCATAAAGATTTGTAAGATAACCATCAACGTCTTTCTCTGATAAAATATTCAACTATGGAAGAGACTCTGTGATATTCTTTTTTTCAAACTCACTGAGATAAATCATATCGACATAAGAATGGAATTAGCCATTGTTAATTGACAATACGTCGTCGATATATCTAAACGTTGAAGGCAACAGCAAATTTTATTTTCTTCTTTTCGTTATATAAATTGTATTTTAGAAAACTTGGATTTATTTCTACAAGTGGTAATCCAACTTATACCCATAGTTCCTTTTCTAAGGAAGGAATTCTTCAAAATCATACGTCAGTTTTGAATACTAGTATTTTTAATATCCCAATAACCAAAATGAATTTAAACTACCATACAGGGTATTTATATTGGATTTTGAAACTTCATAAGAATCCGTACAAACAAAGATACATAGCGGGTTCCCGTAAATGTTCAACCAATATTTTTTGCGAATGCAATGCATGCGAAAATTTGCTTAAAATTTATCTTTCTTCACTCCTCACTAAGATAATACCAGTAGTTAATGAGAAACTTCAAGAGTACTGTGCAACAATATATTCAAGAAGTGGTGTAAATCAGATGTGGATACTTACAATTCCAAGGAACTTTTGGACAATTTGATATTACAAGATTTTACCAAAATTAAAAGCTTAAAACTTACGACTTTTCAACTTTATACACAACTATTCCCCACAATAAATTAAAGTCAAGCCTTTTTGATATTTTTGACAGCTGCTTTTTCAATAGAAATGGAACTCTTAAATTTATTTGCGTTGTCATTGGTCATTTGCAAAATTAATTTGTTAAAAACCCATTTTGATAATTGTACACACAAGTACAAGTGAAAAAGACATTATTGGTAATCTAACAACCAAGCTCTAGAATAAACATGATGACTTTAACTTTTCTATCATCAACTTCTCTTACTTATGCAGCAATATACCATCATCACCTGCATACGGAGTTTACATATCTCAGTTGATTAGTACGTATGAACAATTTCTACAACGAGGTAAATTATTGACAAACAAGTTGATGAAACAAAAATATCAGCAGTCTCGTTTAAAGTCATCATTTTGTAAGTTCTATGGTCGATACAATGACCTCACCAGCAAATTCAGTTTATCATTGAGTCAAATGCTGACTGACGTGTTTCATACTAATTGTTAGTCCATTATCTAAACAATGAATTTACGACGAATTGACAACAATCACTTTTTCCGTTGTTTCCCGATCATGATAAGGAGCACACGGCAGATTTGACCGGTCGGGAGGGGATGCTCACTTCTCTAAATCACCTGATCCCACCTCTAATTCCGTGTTTGCTCTGCTCCTATTTTTTTATTGTTTTATGAACTTTTGATATTGAATACTGTTCGATATCTCCATGCATATGTTTGATTTCACGTATTTTAAACAAATTTTGTTTCATATGAATACACAAAAAGGTCTGCTGAAAAGGGGGCGCAATTGGTACCCATGAAAATTCAAAGAGATAGTTGAAAAAACCTGGTCTCCAAAAAAAACCCTATCGATATATTGTCAATCAGAAACTCAAGCACATTTTTTATATCAACTTCAGAGTACTTGTGTGTACAACTGTTTAATACACATATTAAATTTCAATTTATTTGTTGTTGCTCTTTTTAAATATGCATCTATAAGCAAATAAATTTTCCAAGGACGAATAATCATCCCCTATTGCCCAACACCCCCGCCATTAACTGTATGGGTTGATAAGGTAGACGAAACATTTCGTTCTCAAATTACATAAATTATAAGTTTAGTATAGAAAAACTTAGGTTTAATAGTTGGTATTGTATGAAACAAATCAGCCAAAATACGATCCAAATTAAATGGTAGGTTATCTTTGCTATTAAACGACCATAGAATTTAGAAATACAATTAAAGAAAATGCCTATGTGAAGATACCTAAGAAGGAATATATTGCCGTATATAGTCAACATTTTTAATTGATTTTTTAATTAATTTTAATTTTTAAATTCTTTTACTTACAATATTTATCATTACACCTATTTAAGGGAATTTTTCCATTAGATATTGTTCTCCTCGGTATGAATTCAAATTAATAAGTTTTTGAAAACCCTATGACATCACAGTAGGACGGGATTACCTTAAACAATGAATATAATACATTTCATGATATATCGAGTCGATATTATTAAGAAAACGTCGTAGATATATCTTAAAGTCTGGTTGAAGTCCACCCCTAGTGTTTTCTTCTTCTCATGTAGAATTTCTGAATAATATAAACATGATAAAAGTTTGTGAGCAACGATATGATGAAATCAATATCACTTAAATTTGAATAGTTGATATAATTTATTCGAAAATCCGATATCACTTACTTACTTTCTGAGTTTCAATAAGTGATATCACCAATTTCTGAAGGTGATATCACCGGTTTATTCCCACTCAGCCTTCTGAAATCATTATTCGAATAAGGTATCAACTCAAGCCCCATCTGCTGATATGGCTCGATCACACTATCCAGCTTAAAACGGTGCATCATACAAAAAATGTTTTGACCCATGTTTGTTTTTGACACATTTCTAATTTTTTTTTGTTCATAAACCTTGTTAATTTTTAATTAAATAGAAAATAACGTGTGACTTTTTAAACTGAGTATAAAACCAGATGATAAAACGCTATCTCCAACATTTTTATTTTGATAAAATGTCGGGATCGGTAATACTTAAATTCAAAATATCTTCACGATCGTGCATTTTCCATTTTTAACAAAAAAAATTTGTATTTACCCATGATTTCGTGACCACTGGCTTTGGTAAGTTTTTTTTTCAATTTTCAAGTATTGTTCATCTTATTTCCGATTAGAAAGTCTATTTTCAGACGCAACTATTGATGTTACTTACGTAATCTGGAATATAAAGTTGAGGAAATTCTGGTTGGATACGCTTAGCCACTAGATCCATATATCACAGTGACTGTATTGTTCCATCTCAATGCATACAGCATAACCTGTTTAATATATCGTATACATTCAAGTAAATAATACACCTAAGTACAATTTAAATTAAGAGATCCATGTGCATGTTATGTAGTGTAATACTAAAAGCCTAGGTATTTAGTTTTGTTTTAATTGGTTGTCTTACAATGTTAATTTCAGATTTCAATATGAAGTTGTTTGGCAGACACAGTTTTTTCCGCGGGAAATCCTTGATGGAGCTCACAGCTCAGCTAAAGAATCCTAAAGGTCGAGTCGTGACTCGAGTAACATTTGAGAGATATCCTGAAAAAAGCTACTATATTTTATCTCATGTGGAGCATGGATACCATGGGAAAGTGAGTTGAATTTTTTCAAACATATTTCTGACTAATTTTTTCTAACCTGCTGTCTATGGGTATTATTATTGTTGTTTGAAACATTTCGCATTTTCATCTTTTTCATCTGATTTTCAAACTTGTCATAAAACATACTTAGGTGAAGGTATTCAAGTTTGTTCATATAAAGGACATGCTCTTTTTCAAGAGAAGATATTTAAGAAATACTGTATGCAGGAAAATTATAGCTCACTTTTTATTTTGCCCTTTTTTGCTTTAGATCCATTGTAGAGCAAATTAAAAAAAAAAAAACCTGCATAAAACAGGTGTATTCCCTTTCAAATTAAAGACATGTCATTTACATATGTACGTGACCTATTCTATCAGTTTTTGTCAAGTGCCAATGAGTGCCATGCATGTATATTTGATCATTATCAACTTCTTCTCTGGAAATACTGAACCAAATTCAACCTATTTTGGCATACGTTATCTGTGGAAAAGGTAGCAAACCTTATAAATTTAATGGTCATTAATTCCCAAAGGGATGGGGCTAAAAAATTTTCTTTAGATTAAGCCAAATTTTTAAAAATCTTCATGTTTACACCTGAACATCAAGCAGTAAATCAATGGCTCGAGGGTGGGGGTTTATGGTGTTATAGCAGCTTGGACTCTTTAGGTAATATAATAAAAATCCCCATGCATTAATAATTCCTTGAAAATCTTCTCTGCTCAGTGAATTAAGTTGTGATCAGCAGGTGTGCCTCTTCAAAAATTATGAAACAGGGGTTTAAAGCTTTTTAAGGCTATGTATGATATGACAATGTGTGGAATTATTTAATCTGCTTTACGTGAAGTTATTGTGTTCCCCAAACGAAGTTGGGGAACATATTGTTTTTACTCTGTTTCTTATATTATTTGAACGGAAGGGGTTGCAATTCGTTTGTTTCTTTTCCACTATTATTATTATTATTATTTTTTTTCTTACCAATTTTTAATCTTAAGTTTAAAACTTTCAGCAATGATGGTAAATCATATATATATATTTTGCCGTACATGTACAATACTACAATTTTCTTTTTTTAAAGTGTCTTTTGTCCAAGTAATCAAAAACGGTTTGAGATTGAGTCTTGAAACTTTCAGGGATGATAGATTGTGAAAGGCTCTCTTGAATTTTGTATAAAGTTTTTGTTGCCGTCACGTCCGTTGTCCACCGGAAGTAGTTTAAAAATATGCAAAATTTTATTTTTTTTTTTTAAATGTTTCTTATATAGGCAAATATGGAAGCCGTATTATTATGTCCACCGGAAGTTATTTTTTCTAAACCGGAATAGTAAAAAATGAGCATTTTTCATTGATATAAATTCCTTTACACTCAGAGAGGAGTTATAGGTCATTTTTAGTACTTCCGGGTTATATAGAGAGAAACACTCTTAAATGTGTTCTTACGTATTTACAGGAATTGATATAATTTAGTTCATTTTCATTAAGTTGTTTTATGGTATCAAAAATCGAACGGAAGACCTAGTTTTGTTTTATTATTCTTATTATTATTCTTTTTTTGACAAAATTTTGTGCAGGTTGTCTATTCACGGTTTTTCATGTATCACATTGTGTCAGATTGTTACATCCGTATGAAAATTGCTTTTGGTGCCAAGTTATGGACAATTTCCTGATTTTAAAATGCGATTTTGTCGCGCACTTTTATCCTTGAAAATGGAGGATATACAGCTCAGGAGAATCTTAAGAGGTAGTCATGACTTTGTGGTTTGCAGAATCGCCTTTTCGTGTAACTTCCGGTTTGAGAGATATCCTGAAAAAATGCATTTTTTCAATTTTTGTGTTTTTATTTTTCTTTGTTGTTTTTAATCTAAACAGATACTCATTTGCAAATGCGAATATGTAATTTTTTCAAAAGCAATATTTTGCATTTGAAAATTTGAAGCGGTTTTTCAATGGCCTGGTTAGTCTTTGGGTATTATTATTGTTGTTTGAAACATTTTTTATCGCTTTTTTCTGCTTTTTTCGTTTTTTATTTTCAAACTTTTCAAACTTGTCAACGAGTTTCATATCTAACATACTTCCCCAGTGAAGTTGGGAACATATTGTTTGTTCATATTATTATTATTCTTATTATTTTTTTCAAGAGAAAATATTTAAGAAATCTTGTATGCACATCAGAAAATGTTTTTCACTTTTTATTTTGCCCCGCACGTTTGCTGTAGCGCGCATCCATTGTAAATGACCGATTTAATTGATATAGATATAACTTTTTAAATTTTCGATGAAATGCTGCATAAAACATTGTGTCCCCTTCAAATTAAAAACATGTCATTTACATATGTACGTGACCTATTCTTTTTTGTTTTTGTCAAGCTGCCAATTTTGAACATGCCATGCATGTATATTTGATCATGTATCAATTCTCTGGAAATGCTGCGCCAAATTTTTAAAAACCTATAACTCCCTTGTTTACACCTGAACATCAAGCAGTATATCAACATGCACATGGATACACGTGGGGGTTTATGGTGTCTGATTGGCTGAAACTTTAAACAGCTATAACTCTTTTTCCAACCAAACAGGATAATATATAATGGACTAAAAAAAGGTATGGTCACCATGCACATGCATTGCATGTATAATTTCTTGAAAATTTTAACAGGTTCTCTGCTTTCATGGTATTAAGTTGTGATTCTACAAGAAAGTGTTCCTCTTGAAAAATTATGAAAAATCTGAATGGGTTTTTTAACACTTTTTTAAATACTTTAATTTTTAGTATATTTAAATATATGTGTGGAAAAATTATGGTCATTAATCTGCTTTAAGGTAAAATTTGATCTAGTAAATGTTGTTAATTCAGATACATAAAGTTTGTTTAATTTAATGTGGTGCACAAAAAGAGAGTAGATCCATTATGACGTCAAAATCAGTTATTATTATTATTATTATTTTTCTTTCTTTTTGTCCTGATCTTGTACTTACATACGGCTTTTTTAGCAGATTTATGTAGATTTGCCAAAAAGGTACTTTCGCGCATGGCATTCAATTAGAAATCATATGAAAAGTAATTTTTCTGTTTTTTGATGAATTTTTTTGAAACTATTATTAAATTTGACATTATTTTAAAGAAGAGGCATGGTCAAAATACAAATTACCGTTTTCTGATTGGACTGTAAAGTCTCAATCTTTCTTGTTACTTGTCATAATCTTTTGAAATTTTGAACAAAACTCCAACATTATTTCATGATGATATATAAAAATTTTAATTTTTCATTGAAAATGACTGTTTAAAATATCTCCTTTGTTTTTCAAAATGCTTTGAAATTTAAAACATACAAGGATATTATATAGAAAAAAATTCATGAAACACATTATTTGGCCAAGTTTATATGTTATATCTCCTTTGTTTGCATTAAATGTTGAATTTTAAAATATAGTCATTCATTTAAATATTGATAAAAATTTATGAAATCACGCGCATGCATGTGTGCTGCATTCTAATAAATTCAAATGGCTATAACTCTTAACCAAACAGGATGAAGTTATTCCTGTAGTCTTTGTTGCATTTACTTAAAAATATTCGAATAGTAATTTTTAAAATTATAATTGATATGAAGTATATTAATATTTTAGATATTGTAGACAAGATAATATGGTTGTTACGCACTTGAAAAATGCCTATTTTTAAATATATTTTGTATTTTTCAATTTTTTTTTCATAAAGTATTTCTCATTTATAGAGATTACACCAATACATGAAATAGATTTTATGAGTCAAGACAACTTGTCAATACTTTGTTATTTATATAACTATTTAGTAATAAAAATGTCTTATGTTGATGATACAATAATTTGATTATAAGCAATTTTTTTATGTATAAACCAAATGGTTTATGTTTTGAAAATTTTATTTTGCTGGTAAAATGTGTTATTATGATTAATCTGTATGTAATCTAAACCCTTATGATCAATAAAACCAAAATAAAGTTTAAAAAATGTTTCATTATAAATATTTATGTACATTTGAATATACAGTATTATATAAGAAATCATTATTGTACAGGACGACTGTCATTGAAATAGTTAATTACAAATTTGCAAAATTTTTTTTCTGATGACAAACATGCAGCTCATATTGCTTTAATATTTTAGTTTCAAAAAATGGTATTTTGAATTTTCATTTTGAGATAGAAATTAAAAAAAAAAATTATTGCAGAATTTGACTGGTGTGGCATGGGGCACAAAGGTTTTCAGAGGGAACAAGTACCCAAAGTTAATGAGAATTGATGCAGGGGGGAAAAGGGATTGGCGACTTATTCCAAAAGAGGAAGAGGAGGAGTTTTGTAAGATTGACAAAGTGCATGAACCAAATATTAAAGTAGAGGACATTGATACACGATTACCTCCAGTGATGGAAATGGTGTTAAAAAGGAATTTCAAGCAAAGAAATGTAGCATTTGAAGGTACTCCTAACCTAAAGGGATTTATTAACCTTAACAGTGATTTAATGAAAAGAATTGAATATTACAATGCACAGACAGACTGTTCATCACAAGAAAAAACGTCTTGACGACCCAGAATTTTAATTCTTGCATTGCAAAATAATGTATTTACAAGAAATGCAATTGTATCTTATGAATAAAATTGTATATAAGACCACAGAATGCTAATTTTAATGTGTTTGATGTGAAGTAACTCTTCTGTATTACAAATTCATACTTAATAAAACATACAGTCATGTTGATTATTTGTGGCATTACTTTTGGAACAAGAAACTGGAGTTACTTTCCTTTACCTACTTTAAAAAAAATAATGCAATTTTCAATCTTTTTAATATTATTACAGAAAGTTCATTAGAATATGATTATTGTTATAAATTTATGCAGTTCTCCCAGTTCCATATAATGAGGTCATTCCAAGTTTTTCTTGTTTAAAGACAGATTGGTTTTGAGGTTATGAAATTAAAAGCAAACACAAATTAAAATCAACAAATACATTCAAGTCTTTGAAACACAATTTACTAGTACTCATTTTGGATTGGCATCTCTTTTTTTAAGTGGTGTACCCAAGTTTCTCTGAAGAAAATGCAGGTAAAACTACCCGTCTTTTCCTTAAACTTCAATATGCCAATAAAGGAATTGACTTTAATACATGTATAAGTAATATTCTTAATCACTAAAGGGTCCAGTCTTGTATTCCACCATATTTCAAGTTAAAGACTACACTTTGTATTTCCTATAAATGTACATTTATTATTGCTTCCAAACTTTTCAATTACAAAAAAAACTTTACATGGCCTATATGTTGAGTATCTGAAACATAATCCTCCATCGTGTTCATGTTCTTTGCCGCCCTATAACTGTCGTCCTGCTGGACATGTTATTAGAGGTGATGTAAATATAGTTAATAATGAAGACCTTATATCACTTATTTTAAAAGGTCCTAAGTATAGGAAACCCCGATCCTTCAACTGGCATCAGAATTTTATAAATATTATGGATTCTCTTGAAGATTATGCCATATGATGGGCCAGATATGAAAGAGAGGACGTTTACACTTTGTCAGATATGATTAAATGTATCAGATTCATATTAAAATCACGTATTTAAAGATGGTCAATACGACAACCATCCATCCTTCAGTATTCAATAATCCAGAAGTGAAATTTCAAAGATTACATCATCAGTACGTACTGGTCCCTTCTGACAAAGCAGGTAACAACATTGTCTTCCTTTGTAAGGCTCATTATATAAATTGTATTTTAGAAGAACTTGGCTTTAATTCTACAAGTGGTAATCCAACCTATGCAGGTAAAACTACCCGTCCTTTCTAAGGAAGAAATTCTTCAAAACCATATGTCAGTTTTGAATATTTTTAATATCCCAAAGAAGCAAAATGAATTCGAACTACCATACTAGTATATATTTTAGATTCCAAAACTTAGTAAGAATCCTTACAAGAAAAGATACATAGCAGGTTCCAGTAAATGTTCTTCCAAGCCTGTTTCTTTACTCCTCACTAGGTATTAACAGATGTGAAGGAGAAACTTCAAGACTTCTTTGCAACAATATATTCAAGGAGTGGTGTAAATCAGATATGGATACTTAAAAATTCCAAGGAACTTTTGGACAATTTGAAATCATAGAATTTTACCAAAATCAAAATCTTAAAAATTTACGACTTTTAACTTTATACACAACCATTCCCCACGATAAATTAAAGTCCAGGTTTTTTTATATCATTGACAGCTGCTTTTTCAATAGAAGAGGGAACTCGTAAATTTACTTACCTTGTCATTGGTCATTTGCAAAATTATTTTTTTAAAAAGCATTCTGATTGTATAAACAAGTACCAGAAGACCAGGTCTTCCAACAATCTATTGGAATTTCCATGGGTACTAATTGCACCCCGTTATTAGCAGACTTATTTTTGTACTCATATGAAGCAAAATTTGTGCAAAATCTTATGTGTGAAATGAAAAAAGCACTTGTGGCTTTCAATTCGACATTCAGCTATATCGACGTATTGTCAATTAACTGATAATTTCCATTCTTATCATGTCGATACAATAAATCCTGGTGAGCTTGAGATTATGAAAGACGCCACAGAGTCTGACACATCAGTTTCGTATTTGGATATTGTACTTGAAAAAATCTAACAACCAAGCTCTATGATAAACGTGATGACTTTAACTTTTCTATCGTTAACTTCCCTCACTTATTCAGCGATATACCTTCATAACCTGCATACGGAGTTTATATCTCTCAGTTGATTCAATACGCAAGAGCATGCTCTACATATGAACAATTTCTAAAACGAGGTAAATTATTGACAAACAAGTTGATAATACAAGAATTTCAGCAGTCTAGTTTAAAGTCATCATTTAGTGAGTTCTATGGTCGATACAATGACCTTACCAGCAAATACGTACTCTCCATATGTTTCATTTCAGTAATATAGTACTCTAGTACATGTAGTTTACGTAAGTTACAATGCAAGAAGAATTCTCAAATGATATTGAGAAATTCTAACATTGTGCTTAAAATGGGCTTGTTCCTTTATGGTTTATACGGGGTTTTTTTTTCGGATAAAAAGATGGATTTTCAAATTTAGGGTTGGATTTCTAAGTATCAGTGACTAATATCGAAAAGTTTAAAATCAAGCATGATTCATTATCCATAACAGAAGTTTAGAAGTACAATGAACATTTAATTTTAAATGGATGTACCATTATTGCAGTTAACTGTATTTTTGAAATCTTTTACCAAGGGAGAACTGCTCTTGCAGCTAAAATTTCACCCTTTACACTATGTGGTAAAAGATTTGGTCAGATCTGAAAATCGTTATTGTGGTTTATAAATATTTTAAATGTATTGTTCATTCAAGATTTCACTTATTATATAATTATATGATATATCACCAAACTGCTTAATAAATCAATCACCTGTAAAGTATATTATCTAATTTTATTTCTTGTGCAGCAAGGTATGCATTTTTAACAACTTCACATATAATTCAAACAAATGTGCACGTAACATCATTTGACATTTGCTTAGCAAGCATGTCAAAAGTCAGGTACTATTTTTAAGGACCGTATGGCTACTTGAGCAAGTGTTGTGGTTTCCAAATTAATTTCCAGACTTGCTTAATTAATTTATACCCAATCCCTAAAATAAAAGTGAATTTTAAATATCAGATCTTGAACACTATTTCAAGGACCGTCCTTTGATTGGAGTTGTGAACGGGGCTAACAAAACAATACTCTTCACATGGGACGTAAAAAAATATCTATGATGAATAACTGGCATGGATGAGTCAAATTCAGATTCAATATGTAGAAAATGAGTAATGCGTGTCCAAGAGAATACAATACAGTATTATGCTTAAACTAAAGAATGATGGACAAACTCACTTCTCTGGTTCAAATTTTATATAATGTTTGCTTAATTATATGCAGGTGCCTTGTCTATATTGTCAAATGTTGGATTATTTAATTAAGTTAATTAGCTAATTAAAGAACACAAGGTAGTTTTAAGTTATTAATAATAAAAAAAATATATAAAACAGCACACTCAATGCACATATGCCTTTTTGATTAAACAGGATATTTACATCCATTATGCAAGAAAGAAATACCCATTATCAAGAAGCTATTTGAGCGACTAAAAGGAAATGGCAGTAATTGTGTTAATTCATACAAATAGCATTGAAATTGCTTTTCATTATAGATTAATCAGTGAACGATTTATAGGGGTTAAATCCATCCTAATTGACGAGTTGCTCAAACTGTACAATTTTCTTGAAATTGCTAACTTATTGCTTGTCTTAGGATATAGTAAGCAATATCAAGTAGAATTGCAATGCTTCAAAATTGATAAAATGTAAGAAACATCGATTTGAAAACATTCATTTTTTACATTAAAAATATTGATACTGAAATAAAAAAAAATTAAGAACAGCATGACACGTAATTGAAACTCAGACAACACAATTATAAACAGCAATCTAAGAACATGGTTAAAATGAGAAATTCAAGTTTTGTTTGTCCATGAAAGTATTTAAGATCAAAATTCCATAAAACAATACAAAATAGGAGCAGAGCAAACACGGACCTCCAAAACATTAGAGATGGGATCAGGTACCATGGAGGAGTGCGCATCCCCTGCCGACTGGTCACACCCGCCGTGTGCTCCTCAAGATCGGGAAATAATGGAAAAATCCGTCGTCAATGCAGTGTATAAATAATGGACTAACAATTAGTATGAAAAACGTCAGTCAGCATTCGACTCAGTGATAAATTATATTTGCTTACAAGGTCACCGTATCGACCACAGAACTTACGAAATGAACACCCACTATCGTTGATGTCCCTGGCATACTACTACTTACTAATACTTACTTAACAGTGATTCCTTTTATTTCCCTTTCATTTTGAAATAAAATTGTAGATTTAGATTTTAAAATGTAGACTAAAAGATTTAAATTACAAGAGGCCACCCATTTGATTTCAATAGTCCTCACCCACTGACGTCTGTACATGCATATCTGGCCTCCTTAGTTTCAGACAAAGAGACACATACACACCAGATTTATATGCTTATTAGGCCTCCTTAGCTCCTCACCTTTCGGTTTGCCTAATTTACATTGCAGTAGAATTATCAAGAAATCAATTTCACTAATTTTCAAAGAGTTATCACAGAGAAAACAAATAGAAATGGAAATATTTATCATGAATTATAAAGTTTAGAAGATATATCGAAATATCAGTACTAGTTAGTAGTACAGGTATCAGTATGGGGCGATATCCAAATATTCAACAGTGATATTTTTTTTGATTCTCCAAAGTCTGTCACTAAACGAAACGTGATATAAATGGGACAGGTTTCATCTGCAATAAGAAAATGGGTGTCTCTAAAGTTCTCAATTCAAAATAATTTTGAGGCCGGCCTCAATTTTGGTTTAGCAAAGAGATCACCTCATCTATGCATAAAAAAGAGTTTTGTTATTGTAAAATATCAAACAAAGTGAACTCAACGAGAAGATATGCAAATTCCAGTAAATGTCTATTTTGTAAAAGTGTATAATTAGTACTTATATCTTATTTCGGTGCAAAGAAATCCGTGGACGATTTATAGACAAATCAATCTTAAGTGATGTTTAACTCAAGCTGAATGCAATATTCATGTAAATCACATGCAATTAAAAAGGAAATTGTACGCAAATTTGAGAAAAAATTGTAATGCTTCA